ACAAACTATGGACCAGAGAAGGCAAAAAAAGCGGGAGCCCGAATACGACTATTCAGCAACATTGTGCAGCACAAGCAACATCTTACACTTAGCCTATAGAACACCTCTCGTCATATAAATGAGAGAAGTCAAAAAGTGCCCAGATAAAGCTAATAAAATTGTGAATAGTGCATAGGAAGATAGCGATATCGAACAAGGCCAAAAATAAACAAAAAATGTTCTGTAAATGATAAAGAAAGAGGATTAAGTTAATGGTATAAAAGAAACTTACAAGTATCAGCATATCCGGTTCTCCTAAGGCTAGCTCAGCGAGGGCAACTCGAGACTTCTGTCCACCTGACAGGTCTTTTATCTTGACGGTATGTGCATGCCCAGCAAGACCAACCGTTCCAAGATTCTTCCGCGCAAGCTACAAAGATGTTTTTAATGACTAGGTATGAGACATATATGGTATATTTTCTAAATTATTCAAATGGAGACCGAAAATGAGTGATGAATGAAGAATGAAAAAATCACCTGGTAGTCAATATTGAATTTCGTACTCAAATACTCGATCGGGGTTTGTTCACCATTCAACACTTCATTTGCATGCTGATCGAACCATCCAATCTTCACTTGCCGATGTTTCGTAAGCTCGCCCTCTGTCTACAACCAACAAAATCATCAAAATCAGAGAGGTGATATGAAAAACACCAAGTTGGCATGACAAACCGGTTGTATTTTTCCGACTAATAGTTTCAACAAGGTTGATTTTCCAACTCCATTCGCGCCGACTATCGCAATACGAGAGTCCATATCCACACCAAAATCCAAATCTTTGAACAAGATATTGTTGCCATATCCAAATGTCACGTCTGAAGAACAACAAAATCATGAGTCGCAAGAAATTGTTCACCAAAAAACACCTACTATGTAATCCAAGGATTGGTGGCGCCAATTTATCCGTGTCTGGGAAGGAGAATTTTACGTGATACTCTTTGATACGATGCATCAGTTCAGGAGGAGGTGCATCACCTAG